ATTCTGTCATCATATTGGTAAGAGCTGAAAATCTGTCTCCCACATCCGGTCATTGCAAAAGGGAATAAATTTTGATGCCTTTACTGACAGAAATGGATATTCGTCCGCAACGCTTAACCAAATGAGACCGCAATGGCATTTTGATTAAAATCAATCCTTCACAGACAGATCAGATTCTTTCTAAATCGTTGCGGACCCCCTGTGCATTCATCACGGACCCCCAGTGGTCCGCGGACCCTAGTTTGTAAAACCCTAACTAGAGTCAAGTCATGGCCCATGTGACTCAGAGTACCCCTTTATGAGTGGGCCGATCCCTTTCTTAATTTTTCTAATCTCTACCACTCATTGGAAATTTTTCATCCATTTATTTATTTGCAGCTGAGCATGTGTTTGTTAATAAGCTAACGAGCCAAATATAGTCCGATCAAAACTTGCAACATGCAATAAATCATTAGTTACTGTTTCATTCAATATGAAACTGCAAAACTTATTTCATTTTAAACAAAATGCATCTATTAAGTTTTATATAATAAATTCACTGGTCTAGCTAATACTGGTTTTATCCGTTTCATCATGGGGATTTAAAATTAAAATGAAGCAATGTAATGCAATGTAAATTTAAAACCAATTCCAATTAACTTTCTACATTTTGCGATATAAATCAAACATAAATAATTAAAACAAATGCAAACTCTATCATCGGTCTCTCATAAACGAAAAAATATCGTAAACTGTCATTAAACCTAAATAACCTCGCAATGCTATTTATTATGTGATGTTAATACTGATAAACAAGGTATGTTTTTCGAAATGTGTAATGAACTTAACAGGTCCTCGAGCAATGTCGAACGAAGTAGAAACACCAGTTTGATCGAATATTAACTTGTAAATTTCCACAGAATTGATTTTGACAAAGATTACACGTAAATAGCACGCGCGTATTTACAGACCTTTGGACAAGTCTTTGTTTCTTATCTGTCTATTAATAATTTTCTAGTCACAAACGCGCGCGAAAATCGAAAAGTTACCACTAAATTGAGAATCAGAAACCAGTCCTACAATACTTAGGTACATGAATTAGGTGAAAGCTGAAAAACGTTTTCAGGATGAAGCGGATCATTTCGAGGCACAAGATTCCAATGAACTTTGAATCTAGTATTTTCAAATGCGTTCAAATAATGTCCTCTGTTTTGATAACCGACATAGGTCACACCTCCCTCACACCCACTCGTTAATGATGTTGTTTTTCTCATTCTAAACTGTAAAGACTTTTGCTTTGGTGTAAATTGTTTATTAATGATTCAATAATATAATGCGCTGGAAAACAAAGGTTTACTTGAATGGACTTTTTTAGATATCGACGCATGTCCCGCAATAGAATATGTTCAAACAACCTGAGAAACTTTTCCCGCTAATCTGCGACATAAATATTGCTTTAAAAGTCAAGAGTGGTGGAACGACAAGACAGAAAGTTTTTAATTAGAAGAATGAACAAGTATTACAATATCTGTAACAACCTGAGAAACTTTTCCCGCTAATCTGCCACATAAATATTGCTTTAAAAGTCAAGAGTGGTGGAACGACAAGACAGAAAGTTTTTAATTAGGAAAATGAACAAGTATTACAATATCTGAAACAACCTGAGAAACTTTTCCCGCTAATCTGCAACATAAATATTGCTTTAATCGTCAAGAGTTGTGGAACGACAAGACAAAAAGTTTTTAATTAGGAGAATGAACAATTATTACCATATCTGTCTGTTTTACACGTTCGATGCTTGTGTATTATGGTTTATATTTTGCTAGGCCCAGTAAAGTTGAAGTATAATTAGATATGTTCTTGGAAATTTTTTTAATTCACATACAAATTTCTGGATAATAAGGAGAATCCGAAACAATCAATGACGATGAGTTCGCAGTAACTTCAACCACAAAATCCTAAGATACTTGTAAGAAACGACCAAAATATCATCCAGGAATCGTTTTCCTTCTATTATGTGTCGTTACAAAATAAAATTGTGTTGCGTTTTTCAAACACCAATTCGTAAATATTGACATAACCATAAATTTCCAGAAATAACATGTTTGTCCCGTTATCATGTATAACGAACAAGGTGGCTACCGAATAAACCTTGAAATATTAAAAATTGCCTCTTTAGAACCACAGTCTCGCAACTGGAAAACAGAAAGGCACATAATTATGGCAGCATTACAAAGCGTTTATGCACTGGCTTATTTTATTCATTTTCGCTGTTTTTCATCCCATTTATGATTCTGTAACAAGTTATCTACTTTCAATCAGACGAACAATAGGATATCTGACTCTAGCAATGATGCGCTGAGATGAAAGCCGAATGACACAACATAATTAGAATCTAGCAAATGAGTGGGGGTAGTAAAATGATACTGGATGACTTGTGTATAGGTGTGGAAAACATCAAAATCATATTGTTATGGCTAATTATAATAAATACGATCCAGCAGAAAGGAATAAAATCATTGTAGGTTTGCATCACATTCTGGCGAAATGATACCATGTAACTGTTATCTAGAGACAAAATCAGAATTATTTGTGTGTCCATGTGTGCTATTATCTATCAAAATTGATCCTTTTTATTGTAAGAATTTTATTTTAAACTTTCATATTTTGCACTGAAAAAATAAAACCACACGCATTATGTATTTTTCGTGGTACGATTAATTATAAAGGAAATAAAATGTATCATAATATTCATTGTTCTATTCTTCAACTTTATAACTATGTGAAAATGGTATTTCTGATACAATAACGTCTTGTCATTGTTTCGGTGACAGATTCAAGATTCTTATCATAACTCTATTTATAAAATATAAACAATAGAACATGGTCGGAAAATAATTTGTTGAACGGTGACATTTTCGCCCTTTCTCAGAAATAGGCTCATGCAAAGAATTCGGCAATGAGATATTCTTCACCAAGCAATGGTAATGATTGTGTAATTTTTACCAACCATCTGATACATTTAATTACTTGTAGACCTATACACGATTCATTCCATTTGATAGAAAAAAAACGGTAAAATATTCAATTTGATTATCGGAAATAAAAAGCTCGTTATAATCTGAGAGATGCAATACAACTATTTTATGGGTCCGCGAACCCGTTCCTGGAATTTCATGATATCAGCGAACCTGATCTAGTTTTTAATTTCAGGTGTTAGACGCCCACAGCAAATGGTTAGAGTGCACCTCTGGCGACTAGCGTTCCAAAGTTATGTATCAGATTTATGTGACGTGTCATGTTATTGTAGCTTACGTAGTGACATACATACGGTTTCTAAAGTGAGGGAACATGTTGTTGGTGAGTTCGATCCAGAAGAAAACTGCTTTCAAAATCCTAAATTTTATGACTTTCCATCATTCTATAAAAAAATAATCTTGCAAATATTATGGAATTAAACTAAACGTAACAAATGCGAGCGATTGCTGTGCCTATTAACGAACCATTACCCGTGACTCGCACACATCATGGGAAGGCCACCACTGAATGGCGCTTGGACCGCAGTAATGTATTACATCGCTCGTGAGTTGTGATAATTAGCTTTTTATTTTTTAATCAATCACAGCGCAATGCTCAAATTTATGGGCACGACGGCCAAAACAAATTAATATCAAATCTTTTGCAGTAGCGGTAGTCTTCATTATCAAAATCACTTCTGACTTCTCTGATCACCAGATCGGCGAAATGCGATCGGGAAACCGCCACACAATGCGCAATTTTAAATTTTGATGAGATCATCACACAAAACTTCTGAATAAAAAAAGAAACCAATAGAGCCCACAAAAATCTTCGAATTAAATAAAAGTAATAGCCTTTTAATAACAACAATTTTTATCCCCTGAAAATATTTTCACAACAAAAATAACAACAACAACAACAACAAGAATAACAAGAAGAATACTAACACAACAACAATTATGAAAACGAACCATAGCTTCATTTCGTGTCCAACACCCGCTTGGGGAAATTTTGTTGTATTTGTTGTATCGAAAAAATACAACCCACACACTAAATGTTAAATGTGTATTGGCTTCCATACCACTCCCGTGACGCTTCGCTAATTGAATATTTGCTGATGGACGTTAGCGTTTCGAACAAGTTGTTCTGAAGAGCTGTATTCTGGCTGTATCAAATAAAGAATATAAAGATTCTTCTGTTTTTTTTTTTACAGATATCATGAATTGATGCTATTCGTCTTAACACTTTTTTTTTATCTAGCTGCCTTGCTCAACCGAAAAGAAATAATTCCTGTATGTTTCATGTTAAACAAAATTACCACACAAAAAAACTGCTTGCTTTTGTGACCCCTTCACTAGCAAAGAATGTACCAACATAAAGATACTCCACGTATTCATAGCGGGATACTTTTCCCGGGATTAGAATGAGTTAAGCCACGACTTTTCTTAGGTAATAATATTCAAGCCTCTGGGATTTACTCAATTATCATTTACTTACCACTTGAATTTTGGTATAGTTTTATACATAAAGGTTAATTTCCCAGGAACTAAATTTCTACGCCATATCAGGAAATTCGAGATAGAATTATTTGTTATATGCACAAACAAACATGGAGCGCATCAAATTTCGGTGGGTGTGCATTGATTACTCAGTCGGGAGAGCGTCAGACTGAAGGTTCCTTGTTTCAATCCCGGGTAGGGTCGAGATATCAGAATATTCCCCAGGTTCTCAATAATATCCCCTAGATTTTTGTAGAGATAGGGTAAAAGCTTAACCGGATAACTATCTCTTTTATAACGAAGCCCTTTCTAAATCTTTCTAATCTCTAGCACTCATTGGAGATTTTTTTTATCCATTCATTTATTTGCAGCTAATGAGCCAAAGATTCTTTTTTTTAAATAAGATGTAAGCATGAGTAGTAGTAGTAATATACACAGGTTTTAAAGATATATATTTGTCCATATACATGCTGTGGATGGGTTCCGATGAAGCGCTATCAACAACACTTGCACTTGTTAATACTGAGTTATTCAATATGTCGACAATAAAAACGTTACGTTAGACTATCATCCTGATAAATATTATCCATTCAAATACAATATAGCAAGCAGAGGCAATGAACGAATCTTCGAAATCTTAAAATCATTTTAATCATATGCATGAATTAGTAATAGGTGATGATAATACTAAAGCTCTCATGAAAAAATACATAATTGGTTTTTATCAAATTTTTTTTCAATATATTTTCCAGTTTCATAGTATTGAATTGTGATGATATAGAATCTATCTCCAGTGGTTGGATCCTTTGTAGCAGGAACATCCGCAAGGCACCTGGAAGAAACAATATATATAATAAATTAAAAGAGAGTTTTTTTAAGAATGTGCTACTGGGACAGATAGCATGCCGTTAAACATATTAGAGAAGGCCGATATATCGAGGACTAACGTGAGAGCCGGGATTATCTGCTTTTTCGTCGCACAAATAATATGATTTAACTGGTTCCTGATTAGGATTTCATTTGCCAACTAAACTGACGGGACAGCATAGTTTCATCAATTGTCTATAAACCCGGCTGATTTTCCGGAACCTTGCTCAATTAGATTATCACAAAAATGTATATTCGCACCTGTACTTTTACGGTGTCCTCGTAGTGGTGGCCTTCGTGTTCATAGCATGCTACAAACTTATATGTGCACTTTCTTGTATAACAATAGCATTTACTACCAGGATATCCATGGGGAACTGATGACGGTCCATAGCTACCTGAACTCGATCCATGGGGAACTGATGACGATCCATGGGGAACTGATGACCGTCCATAGCTACCTGAATTCGATCCATGGGGGTATGATGACGGTTCATAGCTACCCGAATTCGATCCATGGGGAACTGATGACGGTTCATAGCTACCCGAATTCGATCCATGGGGAACTGATGACGGTTCATAGCTACCTGAATTCGATCCATGGGGAACTGATGACGGTTCATAGCTACCTGAATTCGATCCATGGGGAACTGATGACGGTTCATAGCTACCTGAATTCGATCCATGGGGAACTGATGACGGTTCATAGCTACCTGAATTCGATCCATGGGGAACTGATGACGGTTCATAGCTACCCGAATTCGATCCATGGGGAACTGATGACGGTTCATAGCTACCTGAATTCGATCCATGGGGAACTGATGACGGTTTATAGCTACCGGAATTCGATCCATGGGGAACTGATGACGGTTCATAGCTACCTGAATTCGATCCATGGGGAACTGATGACGGTTCATAGCTGGCTGAATTCGATCCATGGGGGAATGAATCCGATTCATAGCTACCTGAGCCTCGTTTATATCTGCCGTGTGGTTGACGATTGAAACCAAAAGTTTGGCAAGATTTTCCATAATAATAGCTGCAAGCATGAAAAAATATCAGGTATTCTCGTTCTATCTTAATTTCGATGCATGTGTGCGTATGAGTATAAACCACCTGCGTTATGTTCGCCAGTTTCTCACTGAAACGGTTGGGCTTGAAAATAAAACGTCCAAATGTTGCTATTGAAGAAACATGAATTTTTTGACCGAAAGAAAAATTGCAGACAGTTTTGTTTTGTGGTTTTGTCATTTTCAAATCTATTATCATTGTTTATTGCCGAGTCCAACTTTTTCATGAAGTTATTTATATTGCTTAGTATTTTCTGACTTGAATAGTAGATAATGCTATATAAAAAATCACAAATATTTCTAAAAAGTTATTAGATTGTATATTATCAATGCATTGTCACATTTTTTCTTGTTATTTTTAACATTCAGCGTCAATTCTACTTACAAATATGAAAATATTCTTACTTGCATTCTTTTGCTCTATAGTAGAACGCTTTAGATAGCTTCACATTGCCATGACATCTGCTGGTTGCGAAGAACAAAGCAGTATAACACAATTGGTCGGGGCAAGATTTGTAATAATACCCAGGATAATGTTTGTGATTTGGACAATATCTTCCATTTGCGGGCGCGCTGCAAATAATATCGGAGGAAATATTAAACGAATTATATTTATTATGAATTATACAAAACCACGTCCACGCGTGACAAGTTCCCGATCCTAGCTCTGATCAGATATGCCATTGTTAAAAGCAACTCGGTCTTTCGGAGAATCAGAAATTTAGTGATTGTTGTATATTGTATAGTGTTCTGTTGGGGCGAGGTTTTAAAGACCTCACCAGTGCTTGTGACGGTGATCCTATCAAATTGATGATATACAGAATGACACAAAAACGCAACTGATAAATTCTTCAATTACGTCAACAAAATTGAAGAAAAATTATTAATTTCTGTTTACACTTGAACTTCTGTTTGTGTTTTATTATTCCCATAAGTTTATATAATCTAGAAGGTTTTGCACAAAACCTATGATTTGTCTGGAGATAGATCTGCATCTGTTGCGCAAAATTCTCGGACCGGTCAAACTATGTTTGGTTTTTTCGAAATGCGCACTTTATACCATCAAGACATGTCAATAGCAGAAATAAAGTTTACTGGGCCACAGAACCTCCGTAGGAAATTTTCCGCGCAGTAAAATGCCCCCATAGGTAACCATTCCCAAACATGGCATAAAAGGTCTGTATCGGTTCGAAGTAGAAAATGAAAAAGTTTTAACGATGAATACAGAACGTTATTTGAAGAGGTTCTAAGCAACAATTAGTAACGTAAAGAGGTTGGTCAAGCCCACGGATCACACCCTTCACTGGCCACGAAACCGATTTCAGCAAAGGCTGATCTGTAGGAAATGTGACACTTTATTTACCTGATTTAATCCCATCATATTTTTATCAGTGTGAATATTTGAAGAACAATGTGTATTAGAACAATCTTGGCGAACTTAAGGGTGCAATTGCAGCAAAAATCATGCGTGACAATTTTGCGCAAAAGTTGCAAGTTCTGTCACCATTGTTGAGAAGGTCATTCGGAACGTATTTTAGAGTTAACATAACTTTTGTGCAAAGCACCCAACATTACTGAAACTTCTGGGACAATCATACACAAACAGAAGTTCAAATGTAAACAAAATATAATAAAGTTTATTTATTTTCGTAGAAGGGGTTGGGAAATATATATATGGGTTCTATTTTGGGGGTCATCCTGTAATATTAAATAGAAAAGTTATATAAACAACCTAATATTATCAGAACAGCATTCCTTGAAGAAATTACGTAGTTTAGATTAAGATAGTGCCCGAGTACTATAAAACAAAAATAATTGAAATATATAATACTTACAAATGTGAACTTCGGCAATATTTTCCGTGTGGTTTGTTTGTACCATGTCCATATGTATATTTTTGGCTATAACGGTAGTCGCTGTAGTACTTGGGACTAACCTTTGTAAAAAAAAAGTTATCCAATTTGTGTATTTCTAGCTATACTTACAACCTCTCAATCAGGCTTGTTAAAAACAAGAATCACATATTAAAAAAAACCTTGTAATAACGTAATATAAGAGTCGTTAGTTGTGTTTGGGTTTTGCCATAAACGAATTAATGTAGTCGATTGAGCTCTTTAATATTTTATATAACCGTGCTTCGTAGGTTAAAATTGAGAATTCTAGGTTCCGGTAATTTTAGGTAGGCGTAACCACCCAGAAGGCAATTTATTTTTAACATTGTCTCAAAATGCTTAAGGTGTAATTTATTTGAACAAAGTTTTGAGACATAAATATAAAATAGAAACGACATAATATGTGTTGGATATGGTTCACATCAGTCGCGTGATGCTTTCGTAGCAAATAACATAAAAAACGCAAAATTTGTTTATACGAGAGATGGCCCTAATCTCAGGAATCATAAAAATTGTTATTTCCCCAAAGAGATGATGCCCAAAGCCAGGTGCTTTTACTCTGACGTAAATAAGAATCATCTCTAAGCAAGGTTACAGCCGATCACTGTCAAAAAAATCAAGGGTACTGTAACATGTAGTTTAAATGGGGTGCATTACGCGTTATTAAATGCCAACTGACGCATTTAAAGTCAATGCGATCAAAGGAATACTCACGTTATGTGCTTGACATATAACTGGAGGAGGTAGATTGACAGAAAGTAAATAAAATATAACATTCAATCGAGTACGACAGCTGAAAACAAGTTTCTGAAGTTCATAATAACACGGTTCGTTTTAATATTCATATCTTACATACTAACCTTTTTCACGTAGCACTTTTTCGGTTGATAGTAGTTGCCGAGCGCCAATGCACAAAGTGCGAAAAAAAACAAAAGTCGAACAAGCATCATCTTTCCCGTCGCTGCTGTCTCGATCGCTTTTTTCGAATTCGTAGAAGGTGGAAGAATACTTTGCAATGGCAAAATGGTTCAATTGATGTCATTTATATATTTTTTTATGTCAATATTTTACATTACCATAACCGAATAAAAACGTCGACCAATGATTTGCAAGCATTTTTCACAACGAAAAGTTGCCCGTGCAGTATCGTCTCACAAAGTTATTTGTATCCGCGGTCGTTGATGAGTGAAAGTATGCATTCTTTTCTGTATAAATAAATTACGTACTTCACCCCGGGGACCAACACTCATCAAATTACTGTTAGAAAAATTGGCAAAGTATGAAGTGTTTTCTCGGATTTATACAATGATCGACTACGAGTCTTGAAACAACTAAACTTTGAAATAACTTTCATCATTCCGGTTAGACAAAACTCAGCCAAATTGCTGAACTCAATGGTGAGATGAAGATCACCTGTCCATTGCGGTTACAAGTTCATGTTGCAACTGAAATCCTAAGCCAATAGAGGAAGATGAATGTATATTATTAATGAAAAAAAAGTTAAAGAAATTGGTATATACTAGATAATAGTTTTTTATTTTTTATTATTCAAAAATCATGATTATTTAATGTTTTTCCGGTCTGCGTGTTCTTGAGTTTTAAAAAGTCATGTAGGGATAAATTGACTTTTATAATCACATTTAACTTATAAATAATCGTCAATATTTCGCCAAATGCAGATTTCGTTAGAGTTTACTTAAAACAAGAAAACCATAAGATCAAATTAATGCAAAGTCATTGACCCGGGAGCTAGAAAACTTAATTATGAAGTAATTTTTAGGTTCAACCAACTAGATGGAACTAAAAATAATTGGACGGAGTTGAATAATTACTGCCAATCGGCGCAGAACACATTTACACGTACTCTCAAAAAAGAGGAATATACACTCGGAAATACAGTATAGAATATAACGAAGAAAAACAAACAAGAAGATTAATGATAGGAAGAAAATGAAGATTAGCAGGGAAGATGATGGACACGCTTGTAGACAGAAAATTTTATATAACGGTTGTTGTTGGTGTTGAAGTTGAATAAAATTATATTTAAATTCTGTATTTCTGATTTTGAAGGGCCAACTGGATTTTTCCTCAGATTTAATACATAATCAATGTGAGTTTAGTTGGTCATGCTTATAAATAGTCAAATTATGGTATAATGCGAGTCGTAATTAATGGGTTGGTTATCACTGTCAACGGAAATCTACTATAATTAAGTAAAAAAGTAGTCAAAAGAATAAACATGAGAAACTCTGAGGAGTTCTAAAAACTTGAATGTTTTCAAATATCTGGGCATAAATATCAGTACAAATTCGAAAAAAAAAAAAAAATTTAGAAAAAAATTGTTACATGCCGAGATTTATATTTGTTTGTACACAATAGAATATAATGTAAATATTAAAAGCAAGTTTGCTGGACAGTCCAATCAAAACTTGCAACATGCAATAAATCATTAGTTACTGTTTCATTCAATATGAAACTGCAAAAATTATTTCATTTCAAACAAAAGGCATCTATTAAGTTTTATATTATAAGTTCACTGGTCTAGCTAATACTGGTTCTATTGATCTATTATGGGAATTTAAAATTAAAATAAAGCAATGTATTTTCATCTTGTTTTGTAGATGTTCCTACCGCGCAATTGACCACAGCTTTGCTGTATACGTATTCAAAATATAAAAACCACGCTACATCAGTAGAAATGCAACAAGAATTACAAGTTTTTGTAATCTTCATATTAGATCTTAAACATTTAGAGTGATTCAGCATTCAAATTTTTTAATTAATGTTTCCTCGCCCCCACAAGGTGTAATCGTTTATGTTTATTAGATGCGACTATCTGATTATCATAGCATTTCTTGTTCCTGTGTGTTATATAACATTTATTTTGGATTGTTGAAGACACGAACCAAAAATTTAGGTTTTGAAAGTCGTGATTGAAAGTAGTGATTGAACTCTTGCATGAATGCTTCACTTTTACCTCTAAATTGATACAATGTTAATTCGACTTTTATAATCAGATACACACAAAGTTCAAGTTCTGCTTACAAATATATCTACTCGCCATGCGTGTTCCTCCCTCAGTTCCAGTATGACTATGGGCATACATAAATGCTCCCTTTTAGTCAGAAATATAGTAAACTGTGCGTTTGTCTTTTTGTATATAACAAAAAATTAATTACAATGAACTTTCCACATTTTGCGATATAAATCATACATATATAATAACCCGCTTGAACCCGGTCAGCCGGTTTTCCGGCTTGCCCGAGAACGCTCTTTGCCCGGCAAGCCGGTTTTCCGTCTTCCCCCTCGTGTAAAAAGTAAAGAACTTCATACTCTTGTTTCTTAAGAACAATAGTGAGTATCCGGATAAGTTTCACATTGCATGAAAGCTGGTTATTGGGGCTATTTATGTCATGAATATCGATCATATATTTTACAATTGTCTTAGAAAATCGACTTATTAAAGTGCGTATGAAATTATTAAGTGAGAGCAAATTTTGAATACCAAAAAAGTTCGATTTCTTTAAAGAAATTTCCGAATATGTAATCGGAAAATTTGATTACCTTTCTATGGACAAATTTCATAAGCAAATAAGTTCAATATTTTGTAGTCTTGACTTGCGTCGCTACGACAACTTGACGTTACCGACAATGTAATGCGACGTCACGTGATGCGCGGCTTTACGTTTACCACGCAAATGTAACAGAGCGTATCGATATTCGCAAACAAGTAACGACGATTTGTTATTATTTAAATGTCCGTGCAAAATAAGGATAAGATAGGTTTATTTCGAATCTATATTCAGCAAATAGGCGGTAAAAGGGTTGACAGAAACAAATAAATAAAAACTGATTGTGAAGTCAGGAGAGTAAAAAACCTTGGATAAGGTTTAAAACGTACAGAATATAAGATGGAAGGTCTTGCCAAAAAGAAGTGGTACGTGTTCACTCACCTAAAACTATTGAATCAAATCATTCACACTCACACACACACACAACCATAGAGCATTAATAAAATTAGAAAAAAGAGAGAAGCTTTGGATAAATTATATGATAACCAAAAAAAAAGAAATAAACAAGTAAAAAACTTAGAATAAAAGATAAGAAATGTAATAAATAATAAGAATTGTTTGCCACACCATTTTAATAATTTTGTAAAATTCTCAAACAAGAGTGAACAATATTTAATATATATAAGGACAAAAAAATGATTTTGACAAGCTGATTATAATTGGAGTCAAGTGCCACATTGCCCAACCAAAGTTGCCAAAGTTGAGTGCACGAAGAGGTGGGCTAAACCTTTTTATTCACCAAAGACATGCTAAAATATTGCCAAATTGTAGTCCAGATTACATCAATTATTAAATACTACTGGTAACAGTTTAAGTATAATATAATTAGATTAGGGTATTGGTACTGAAGTAGGTATTGTAATTTATTGGTTATAAAGGGTGGGGGAAAGGATAAAGGAATCGAGGATGTTTTTTCATAGAATTCTTTGAGATTAATACGGAAGATTCATTAGAGTCGGTCTTTGGAAACTTGTTCAAATATTTCCCGTCATTCGATGATTGTGACGTAGCCTGAAAAACGAAGAAACGATCTGCGAGTAGGTGTTTAAAAGATTGCATATATGGATATATGTTGACCTATTAATTATTAGGAGATAAATGACATTGTTAAATTGATTTTAGGCGGTATTGATCATTAAATTTCCTATCACTTTATATTGGTGTTTGGAGGATCCAAAAGCATCCAAAATAGGGACACAATTGTCACACCATGCAAAAACATTCAACTTTGATCATATCACCCTATCTACACTTTGGTCAATAAGTCAACTCCACAGCATCAGCTTACCTAAACATAAAGTGCATGCTTACATTAAGAGGTAGAAAACCACATCAAATCAAAATCACCAACACAAAATTAAAAATTTATTAAAGGAGAGAATCCAATATAGCTCGACTGCTCGCCCAGTTATAATACTTGGTATCTTGCAGGAAATATAGCATGCTGTCTTCAACCCTCATCAGGATATATAACCACTCATGCATAATTAATTAACCCGATGTTACGCATTCTAGGCGCATAGCCTTGAAATTGACTATCAGCCCAAGCTACATAAACTTGGGGCAGCGCGTCCGAGATATAAACCAGATCATTGTTAGATATAATCCAGATCACTAGTAAATAATAGAACAATAAAATCATGAAACCCTAAAAGATGTCCTATCACGCTGTGCGTCCTAACATAATTCATAAGACGGTGGGAGTTGCAGGCTGCTTTCATGAAAATCTGCTTTCTAGATCAGAATGGCTGAAGTCGTTCAACCTTTGTTCTGATGAAAAATAAAGATTGTCTAGTGAATCTACAGGGAAAATTCATTAAAAAAAAACACACTGTATAGAGTTTTATATAAAGCGGTATCGAAACTACGATGTATTAATACTTCAAGAATTCAATTAGGCCGAAACATGTGTAATACATATGAGGTGCGTTTTTATCTCAGTTTGCCGCCTAATTTTTCTTTCCTCCGGTGCTTCCACATCTTATGGATCCAGACAGTGAACGATGAGATTCGAAATCTTTACTTGTTAAAGATAACATTTCATACAATTCATTTTACGCATCCGGTGTCTCAGAGTTGACAGGATAAAAAGTTTTATCGAAACTCGTCGACTGATGTCCTGCTGAGGACGTGATCACAAGCTAATCCATAATTGTTACCTTACGCAATACGTCTCGACTGTACGTAGTAACATCTTCTTGACGCCAGTCATGTGATCGCTATTGCGTAGCTACGTAATCAATACGTCATGACCGCTTATTAAATTTCCCATCAACATACAATATTCGAGATCATAACTCACTTACAAGCAGAAAAAATATGTTTACACTAAAATCAATTTCTCACTTTTTGACAAGCTTTATTTTAAAATGTAACAT